ATGTGGCATTGTACAAGACAGATTAGGGGCAATGACAAAATTGGAAGCCTAGAGAAAAACTAGTAATCTTTTGGTGGACTCTGGGGCAGAGAATGATATATCTATGGAAACAAAGGTATCGAAAGGAGAAAACAGTGTAAAGATATGCATGCGGCTGATGACTATAGTGTCAAGGAAAAAGACATTAAAAACTAAAGCTCAGGATTGCAAGTGTCTTTGAGTAAAATCACTGCATAGACTGGGGAAGCCAAGAACTTGACTCGGGGTTTTTAGCAATGGGTTTCACTTGGTACATACTGATTTTAAGGTATGAGCAGACTTTTTGAGGGGAAATACCTAGCGAGCAGTTAGGTGTGGGCATTTCCTTCATTCCTACTTCTCTGCCAAGCACTGCGCTAGGCACACAAAGACAAATGAGCCATACAATCCCCAACCTTAATATGTATGCGGGATAATGGAAAAGATCATACATAAGAACAAATCAGTGATAAAAACAAAGCCCATGGCATCCGCACAGTAACACCAAAGAGTAGCACAATGAGTGAGGGAAAGTTTCTGGGAGGAGGGAAGGCATATGCTAGTATTTAAAAGAGCGGGAATCAGATAAAGTAGTGTGAGGGGAGAGAGGAAGAGAGAATCCAAGTTTACTGGAGAAAGGAAAGAGGAAAAGCATAAGCATTGTGGGAATCATAGCATACAGTTTAGGTTGTGAAGCCTAATACCTAAGGTGAGAAATCATGGGTAATGAAAACCAGGGCCCTGGGGGAGGGGGAGAGGTGTGAGGTGGTGGTGGTGGGGGGGGGATGATTAGATATCCTTGATCTTCTAACACAGCAATGCTGAAGGAAGAACAAAGGGCTGGGAAGTGAGTTGGTTTCTTTGTGAAGGAGACTGGACTTCATCTTACAAGAAGCAAGCAGTTTCTCAAGAGTTTTACGCAGGAGAGTGACGTGGCAGTTTCAATCTTGGAAAGGGATCTGGGCTGCAGACAGAGAAATTGAATTTATTATAGGCTGGGGATAAAGCAAAGTTCCCGATCGTATCAGCTTGATGTCACACAGCTAATGCCACACAGCTTCACCGAGCCATGACCGAATAGTTTGTCTTCCAACTTTATAAATAACTTGTCTGTCTCCTCACTATGTTCCCATTCAAACACTGTTGTGGTGGTGTTTTTTTCTTTTTTTGCAAAATCATGATGAAAGTCCTCTTTCTTTTCACTGAATGGCCATGATACAGTTCTTATTTTACGAATTTTTCTTGTATCTGCGTCTTTAGATAGATTTCAAACTTTCACCAAAAAAAAAAAAAACCATAATCTAAAATATTTCCCTTTTTAGCTTTGTCTTTGTTCATTCATTAGAAATCTACTGACAAGGATCCATGCATCATCAGGAACCAGGCGAGGTGCTGCAGGGCATCAGGAGAGTAAACAAAGGCAAGAGTAGGAGTCAGCCCTTTCTGACACAGAAAATTCCGATACAACGAAAAAATTGACTTTTAAATCGTAAGTTTTGCAGCGTAATAATCCCTAGAATTGGCTAGAATCTGTTTACAACATCTGAATTATTACATTTTGCCTAAAGCATTAAAATTTGATTAATTCATTTTGAAATTATTAAACAAAACGTTTCAAATTTATTTCTCTAAGTGCTATCTTCCCTTAAATTTTACTTTCAATTTTTTTGATACAGTAGTCTGTTCCCTAAAATATCCCCCCAATTCTTCTCTCATTCTGTGTTGTTGTTCACTTGTTAGAGAGAGTATGATTAGGATATTAAACACCTATCTTATTATCTCCATTCTAGAAATCAGATTAGCATGGAAACTATTTTGATTTTTTTGTAGTTTCACTTAATAATAGATTTAAAAAGGAAGCCCCCAATAATTTGTATTCTAGTCATCAGGCCAAACTTCTAACATAGGGAATTAGATAATGTTAATTTAAAAAGATCAGAATAAGAGACGCCTGGGTGGCTCAGCTGGTTGGACGACTGCCTTCGGCTCAGGTCATGATCCCGGAGTCCCGGGATCGAGTCCAGCATTGGGCTCCCAGCTCCACGGGGAGTCTGCTTCTCTCTCTGACCTTGTCCTCGCTCATGCTCTCTCTCAAATAAATAAATAAAATCTTAAAAAAAAAAAGATCAGAATAAAATGAGAATAAGAAAATAAGATTTTCTGCCTGATAAGAGTATATTTGTGATAACTCACTTCTTTCTCAACAATTTATCTTTTCCTAGATGTTAACACTCACTGGGAAGGCACATTACTCACAGAACTCTGTGATTTTTATCTTTTATAAAGAAGCTGATGGTTGTAATTAAAATGTACATTAATTAGTGAATGGATTCTCCTTCTGATGTGTTTGAATCTTATCAATTTTCCTTAATTAGTCTCTTTTCTCTTGAGGGTGCAGAGAAATAGGATGAAATCTCATCTGTATTTATGAAAGAAATGAAAACAATTACCTTAACAGATTTTTTTTTTCTTTACAATACTGGAAAGCATCTAAGTATACTAGAAGAATATTATTCTCTTTTCTTCAGATGGTCTTTTTCTTCAGATTTTTTTTCTTCTAATAAATACAGAAATCCATCTCTCCAGACATACACATGACACATATATTCCTAAAGATTTTACATATGATTTATGTAAAATTTCAAAGAAATAATGCTAGAATGCCTACTGCCTGAAGTTGCTTATTTAGCTTAATGAATTTGAACTTTAGCAAGATACTAAGAGGAGTAAATTAACTGATTAACATCAGGCTAAGGAACGGATTTTGGAGTTACTTTTCCATCTAAATCATACGGTCACTCAATCAAACAAATTTGTGATTGGATATGTCTTTTGGAAGGCCAGTCTTCTAACAGTGGGTAACAGTCATGATGGTCAAGAAAGAAGGTGGGGGGAATTTAATGAGTCTTTTTTTTTTTTTTAATATTTTTATTTCTTTATTTGAGAGAGAATGTGAGAGCACAGAGGGAGAGGGAGAAGCAGACTTCCGCTGAGCAAGGAGCCCGATGGATGTGGGGCTTGATCCCAGGACCCTGAGATCATGATCTGAGCTGAAGGCAACGCTTAACTGACTGAGCCAATCAGGCACTCCTAGTGAGTGCGTTTCGTTGAAGACCTGCACTATGCTAACTTTGTCCTCATAAGAATCTTAAAATCACATATAGCTAGCTTCCCTAGGAAGCTCCAGACCCACATGGCACCCTTATCTACCTTGCATTCTGACCAAGGAGGCTGGCCTGTACAGACTCTAATAAGCTCACTTGCCCTCTACTTTTGGGCTGGGTTTAAGCAATGGTGAGTCCCAGCAGGACAGTGGCAGTGGGGCAAAGTCCAGGTTTCCTTTGGGTCCAGGCCCATAAGGGCACGTTGGTCTATGTAAGTCCCTCAGCTGAAGGCTCCAGCCCTTTTCGAAGCTGCTGAACTAGAAAGGGTTCTCCTACTGGGTTCTGAGAACAGTTTCTTGTCCTTGTCCTTTTGGCCCTGGGGATGCAGAATACTGCTCGTGCTACTAGATCCAGGTTATTACACTAGACCATGGTGCTCCTATAAACCATATCTTTTTAAACAATCTACTTGTGGGTGATAGAAATTATGTTTTTCATGGGCCACAGATTTCCTGTTGGGATTCTGCCTGGTACGGGAGACACAGCATGCTATTGTCTCTACCAATGATGCTTTTATTGTATCTACTAATGAAGGTCAGAGACGTCCTACAACATGGCTAAGGTCACCTAACTGGTCAGCCTGGACACAAACTGTCCAACCAAAGCAGACTCTGTCCACCATACTCATGGCTGCCTGGCCGGGAACAAAAACATCTATAGATACATATATATGTCACAGTATGTAATGCATATATGAATATGTATCAGAAGTACAGAAGATACATAAATGCATAATATGTAAAACAGTATCACAAGAAAGTCACAGTTTTCATACTATCCCGAAGAAAACCAGACAGTTCATAAAATGTGCATCGTGAACAGTCTGCCAGTAAGCCAACACATCAACTGCTGCAGGCACAGCGCACTGCAGTGCCTGCTATATAAGCATCTTGAGGCAGTCATTTTGACATGGCTTGTAAAACAGGCCTGTGGGTTTTTTTTTCCATCTTCTCTTTTGAAGACTATATAAAAGTACAAAACGGATATACTCCATTCTTCCCTGAGGTCTTTCTGGCGATAGGACCGTGGGTGAGGAAGAAACACACAGGGAAAGGGTTGGGAGTCAAGCGAGGGTGGGTGAAAATCAGGTCTACTGCACTCATTATTTATTTGGAGATGAAAAAATAATGCTATTATACTCTCATGCAGGTCTTATGATACAGCTGTGTCAAAAAATCCACATCAATATGTCTTGCATTGCCAGTCAATGTTACATGAAGTGCAGATCATCAACTTTTTAAAAAATATTTTATTTATTTGAGAGAAAATGCACACGAGGTGGGGCAGGGGGCAGAGCGAGAGAGAGAAGTGCACTCCCCGCTGAGCAGGGAGCCCAGTGTGGGAACCGATCCTAGGACCCTGAGATCATGACCTGAGCCAAAGACAGCCGCTTAACCCACTGAGCCACCCAGGCGACCCATATCATCAACTTTTTATTCTCATTACTATTTTCTTCATTCCCGGTTATAATACTTTTTAAATCCATAGACAACTAAAGACATATGTATATGTGTGCATGTGTGTATATTGTACATCTATCTATAGGTGTATGTCTGTCTACACATACATACACATGCATATATATATATGCACACATAGATCGTTAAAGAGACAGAAAGTTTTTCTTCACTTCTAAGTTAACAGCCTTTAAATACCCCTCTGTTTTTTACAGCTCATTAAAATAAAACAGAAACATTCAGATGATGAGAAACTACCTGTCTGGTACTTACTGGCAGCTAAAGCGACCAAATAATAATGTAGTCACTATCTCATTCATGGAGAAGACAGTAACATACAGATTTGAACCTTTACACTTACACAAAAAAGAATCGTGTGCAGACATGATCAGTATTTGGGACGACCCATATCTCTCCATGTTTGTGCAGGTCAGGTGAGGTGATGACTGTAAATGGAAGATAAAAGTAAAGAATGATTTTATTCCAAGTTACTCTATCCCTCCTCTTAGAAATCTAAAAGCACAAAGTACATGCACAAACACACATGAAAAATGTTTAACCTTATAAGCTATCAAAAGTGTAAGTAAATACAATGAAATGTCATGTGACAATTTTATGTTTTAAACACCATCAGTGTAACAACAGGAAGGGAATCACCTGTATAGTATCAAAAGCAAACAGTTCCTGACTTGGGGACTATGTAGAAAGCAACTTGGTGTCCTATATTAACTATCAAGGGTTGACTACGTAAAAGACAGTTAATGGTGCCTACTGAACTCCCAGCACCAGTTTTTTTTTAGTCAAGGTTAGATTTTACGGCAAGAACAAGGAAAAGTATACGATCTTGCAAATCACCTATCAATCTGTCTACCGCAAGTTTAGAATAGAGGAATAATGTCAGTGTAGAAGCATAAAGACCTGTTGGGCTCTCTTCTTAGTGCTTGGTTCATCTTTCACATTTTTCACAGTATTATACATTCAAAAACCAACTTAAAGAGGAAGGCGGCATATTCACAAAAGAGATTAGCAATACTTGATCAGAAAAATATAATTACCATTCTGAGATACCTGCCAAGAATAAAATACAGCACTGTCTGAATTCTTGCCAATTCTGCTTTGTTTTTCACCTTTATGATCTCTACTGTACCTGTTTTCCATCTGTGCCCTTAGAGAAGGTCACAAGGAATAATGCAATGCTTTCACTAACCCATTTTGAGCATTCTGGAAATATAGTCAAATTCTTAAACACAGATAATATAGAGAATTAACACTATGAGGTTTGTGAAACTTTCAACTTACCTTCACATAAGGCTATGCATTTTAAGTTACGGCTTTGCAGGAATTGGGACTGCTGCCCTTTTTTCTGTGACTAAATTCCAAAAGAATTTAAAAATTAGAGTGAACATAGGGCAGTTGCTCAAGTGAGAAAAGAACTAATCATCATTAAAAAATAATAGCCACTAAGATAGCTTCAGATTTTTAAAAAAAAAGGCCTATCTAGACTAGCAGCAATATCCTTGAATTCTTTCTTAATGTCAAGCTATATTTGTTGTATCATTTAATTTCTGTACATAGTCATTATTAAATCAGTCTCAAGATAAGTGAACTAAAAATGCTCAATTAAAGTTTCACAGCCTCACATCATAGAATTAGAACTCAAATTTATTTTTACTGGAAGCCTGGCATCCTCATTTGAAGGGAAACAAAATTAAAATTGCATGCTCTTTTCAAACTCTACAATCAGTTATTCCAGATCATCTAACTTACTCAAAACTAGACCATTTTTACAGCACCATTAACTAAGCTGCAGAAGTTTTAGGAAAATCTCATGGAGAATATCTGTAGTTTTGTTTGTTTTTAGATATTAAGTTAGCTGTAGTTCCCCCCACCCAATTCAAAATCCCATTATTCATTAAGTAGATTTCTCACTTGTCCAGAATGGCTGGTTCCACTGAAATAACAAGGGATTTATGCTTGGTCTTTTCTCTGTCTAGAATGTTCTTTCTCCCATATGGCTCATGTACTCACTGTCCATAGGCCTCCACATAATCACCTTGGATGATTCGACATACAGTATTCTACAGCCCTTTTCCCTGACTTTTCTCCATTTTTCTCTACCATCTAGCATTCTTCCTCTCTAAACATACATTTAATTTATCCATAGCCACTCAATAGGATGTAGGCTCCCCGAGAAATTCCTCTTGTTTTTGGTTCTATTTTTGATTTGTCACTACAGTCCACTGCCTAGGAATCTCTCCCATTGTGATGGGAGCTTAATAAATACTTGCTGAATATTTACTGCATAAAGGTGTTTTGATTATCACATTTCAGGGTCGGTTTTATGGCTTTGTGGATAATGGCCATTCAAGATAATTCTGCAGACTTAAGAAGCCCGAGTGCTTATGGAAGCCCTGCTGGCTAAGGAAGCGGGAGCTCACTCAGCACATCAGCCCCTCAAGCGGCTACAACACCTGTGATGCACTGCTGCTTTTACTGCTGGACGCCGGCTCGTCTTTGGTTGTCACCTTCTGCTTCTTGTTCATCCCTGAAAAACACCAGCAGAATTGTAACTGAGGGACAAAGCTGGGTGATTCCTTAAAATACAATCCACTGGCATCGCAAAGTTCTACCGGAGGTGAAGACATTGCATCGGCCACAGATGACCACGCTGGGCTCTGGAAGGAGCAGCGGCTGTGACCTGGAAAGTCAGTGGGTTTGGGGAGATCCTGAGAGTGTGAGAATGCAGACAAGCCAGCTTGGTTTTCTTTGTATTGAAAACAGGGATAGGAAACTCTCTTGCACAAAACAGATATATTTAGAAAATTCTTAAAATTTGCTTTTACAGGGCTGGTGGAGCTTAAACTTTCATTTTACTATCTGGTTAGGAGAAGGAGAAGGTGAGGAGTGGGAAACATGAACAAGGTCAGAAAAATACATTTATGCTGAAACTTAACTTCGTGAATTGTTGATCTGTATTTAATTCTGTGTAGAATTTACTGTATCATCTAATAAAGGAAAAATTACACAAGTTCCTTTGTCTATGATACTCACAAGTTTTAGCTTACTCTGTTAATGCCATGACTTTTTACTGTGACAGATGTTAGACAAACAGAAGTAAGATTCATATCTGTTTTAGAAGAGATCGGTATTTTTCTATGCTTTATTTGGAAATGCCCATCTACTGTCCAGAAATTGAGAAGTAGGTTGATTTTCTGTTGTTGTTGCTGTTTCAATAAAGGTTGGATGAGAAAGAATAAACTGCAAACGGTATGAATAGAACTCTTTCCAAGTCAAAACTCTTTCCAACCCCCAAAGTTGCAGAGGTCAAGAGGGTCAAGCTGAGAATAAGGCCTAGTCCTAGTTTCAGCCATATGCTTCTGGGGGAAAGGTAAAGTCTGTTATCCTCAGGGGGACTGTGCTGCTCTCCACCCCCTACACTTGCAGCCTGAAAGCCAACTACGGAAAGCTACTTCACGGTATGTGATGACTTGGTATGTTTTTCCTTATCAATGCTGAGGATGTATTTTTCTTTTTTTTTTTTTTCTTTTAAGAGATTTTATTTATTTATTTGACAGAGAGAGATCACAAGTAGGCAGAGAGGCAGGCAGAGAGAGAGGAAGAAGCAGGCTCCTTGCTAAGCAGAGAGCCCGATGTGGGACTGGATCCCAGAACCCTGAGATCATGACCTTAGCTGAAGGCAGAGGCTTAATCCACTGAGCCACCCAGGCGCCCCGAGGATGTATTTTCTTGAACTGGTTTTATTTTAGTTTTTTATTGTGTTACATTTTAATGAGATTTAGAAACTGATTTATTCTGATTTTAATTTGTTTTTTCCTTTGAATTATATCATTCTGTTTCCTTTATTATCTTATTCTTCCTGGTGTTTCTCTTTTCTTTCTTTCTTTTTTTAAAAGATTTTATTTATTTATTTGTCGGAGAGAGAGATAGAGCACAAGCAGGGAAAAGGGCAGGCAGAGGGGGAAGCAGGCTCCTGGCTGAGCAAGGAGCCCAATGCCAGACTCAATCCCAAGATCCTAGGATCATGACCTGAGCCAAAGGCAGACGCTTAACTGAGTCACCCAAGCATCCCCGGTGTTTATTTCCTGTGTTATTTTGGCATATTGTTTTTCAAAGATTGTTGCAACAATATTTCTTAAGCCATAGGCTCTTCTACAATGGGATTTTGTCACTCTTTCCTTCGGGAATGAAGCCTAATTCCCCAACCCTCAAAGATGCAGGGACTTATGACTGCTCTGACCTATGACATATGTGGGAAGTGCTACTATGTGACTTCTGAAGCTGGGTCAAAAAAGGCCTACAAAGTCCACCTGGTGTTCCTAGGACATGTGTTCTGGAAAAGTTTGGGGTAGAACCCTGAGAAACAACTTGCTGTGGTTGAAAAAGCATGAACTTAGGCAGAATTATACTGGCCTGGTTAACATTTACCTGGTGATTTGAACTCTCAAGATATCCTTTTGTATAACAGAGCATCTTAAGACCTACTAAGCAGGCACCACCACCAACTTCAGGAGACTATGTAATATAACCATACAATTGCACATACACATGAGCACATAAGCAAAACCAACTATATATGCAGGTTTATGAATATAAAAACTTTACAAGTCTGAAGAGAAATACAGAGAACACTGAGGCTGGGGGAAAGGAGAAAAAAATTCCACTTGTTACCTTACACAGGTCTATGCAGTTTCAATTTCTTTTTTTTTTCTTCAATTTTGTATAGTGAGCATAATTACTTTATGTTTAAATACATTAAGTTATTGATCTAAAAAAATTATCACACTGATTGTGGAAACATATTTCCCCAAATTTAAAAGTGTAAAGAAATCATCCGAATTGTACCACCTGAGGATAAAGAATGCTAATAATTTCGTGATCTTTCTTTCCATATTTTGCATTTACCAGGCTCCTCTCAAGCACATGCTTTCAATTTTTTTCCAAAATATTTTTTTCATACAATATCACCAAACAAAAAGATGTCAATAAGTAGGATAATTGTGAGGGTATTTTTCTAATCCTAAATTCCCCACACTGTTCAAAATATCTTTATACAATATACAATAAAAAAAGAGAAGAGGTTGGCATGGTGCAGAGTTATAACCCAGGACAGTGAATTACTATAGATGAGTAGTCTGTGTTCTACAGAATGCTTTGCACATACCACATTCTCAATAGTTACTTGTGGAGGGAATGAATGTAGAAACCACTGAACAAAATGGAAATTAATTCTGACATTGAAAAAAAACCACATATTCCGCTTTACATGTTAGGGTAAGTATTCTAAATTCACCCTGACATGTGAGCTTTGTTTCTGCTTCTGATATGAATCAAATGAATTAAATGCAAATGTATCAAATAAGCTTCAGTCACTTGATACACTTAAGAAAATTCAAAACCTCACACACTTGAGGTTAGAAATGAAACAGGAGCTTACCTGAGTAACCAAAAGATATGCTTGACATTGGGCTAAGATAGATTCCACTCCCATACATTGCACCGTGGAGCTAAAAGGGGAAGAAAGGGGACAGAAAGTGGACAGTCAATGGTTTCAAAGGGGAATATTTTACAAAAGAAAGGAATCAGTCTCATGTTGGGAGGATTAACTCTCAGAAAACAATAAAGCTCTTTCCTAAGATCTAATATGAAAACAATACTACTAATACCCTTGTCTTCAACATTCAGTGAGTTGATAGATGAAAAGTGATAGTCAGAGAAAAAATCCTTGATAAAGGTTTTCCACCCGACCCATGACAAAGACAGTCACTTATTATCATGTACTAGCATAGGTTTTTATGTTAATGACTCCAAAATATCAAAAACAAAACAGGCTGAATATACACAACAGAGTTTTTATTAGGACACACATGCTAGTTCATCAACAAAGTAGCCTATTCAGAGTTTCACTGTACAACACTGTCATCCCATTCTTATCTCCTCTAAACTTTTAGGTTAACAGTTTCATTAGCGGAAACTCTTCGACTGATCTAAGAAACTACTCAGAACAATTTAAACTCTCTCTCATCACTTCCACGTTCTAGGGCCCCTGGACCTTATTTAGCATGGACTGAATACTAATACAGTAAGTGTGTGTTTATGGACATTTACATTTAACTGTATCATTTCAACTGTCATCGGTGTGTGGGATCCAGCACAGGTGACGGAATTAAGCATCTCATTTTCTGACCTCTTTTCATCATCAGATGAAAATCAGCTGAATGAGAGTGAAGTGGGGTGTTGAAGGCGACGGGCGTAAATCAAGATGAGCGCTATATCCACGATACCCCATGAGGGATATCCATGATATCCCGCTGACTCCCAGCACTGCCCCGGAGACCATGAAGCAGGCAGCAGATGGCTCTTTGGTGTCCAATCTCCCTCTTGCTGATTCTTAGCCCTACCTTACCTCCTCTTAGAGTACCCCACTCTGGGGCAGTGCTCAAGAAATCTGCGTTGAATTAGCAGACAGAATGTTTGCATGGTTTTATTTTCTGCATGATAATTTTCTTCTACTGAAATTCAAAGTGATTTTATTGTTTTCTCATAGGGAATTCAATTTTTTTTCCTCTTCATCCCCAGATGGTGTGTTGGTCAATTCTGCTTCAGTTATTTTATGAACATTACTTCTGCCTTTTAGAAATTCTATGTAATTTTTAAAGCCCACTGGCTTCCCCTTTCTCACGTAATAAAAAAGCACCAGGATTGCTTACTGAATTCTAACACTAAAGAATATATGGTCTTGTTAAAGCATTCAGAAAATTTACCTGCAGTCTAGTATTAGAAGCAACAACCAGACCATTCCTCAGGATAGAGTGCCAGTTTTCAATGTGTGAGCCACTAAAACACAGAGGAGGGGAAGGACAAAATAAAACCAAACATTAATAATCTTCGAAAGTGGCCACAATATGATTAGTCATGTACCTTCTCGAAATCTTGAATTTCCAAGTCAAGTATCAGGCAGTGGACTACTCAGGGCTAACAGCCAAGTACTAAAAGAATGTTTTCCTCCCCATACACTTCTGGAAGACTGGGGTAGAGACATACCCCCATCAACAGGAAGCCATACTCACTGAAAAGCAAAGGTGCTTCCAAAGAGTTTTTTAGCAGCTCTAAAATTAGATTCTTTGGCTGGTGGACTGCTGAGAAGAAGGAATTGATGTGGAGTATGCATAAACTTCAGTTGCTGCCGTTTAAAATAATGACAAATGAAAATATGTCAAAATTAACATATAACCAGACTGATGACAATTTCAAATTTTACTGGTTTAAGAATTAATTGAGATTCAAGCCATACTAACTTACATTAACAGGACCATTCATTTAAAAAAAAAACAAAACAACAAACCCTGCTTAAATGATCTATCATATGGAGTTGCTGATATGAAGGGTAATTTTTTAGGCTAATGGAAAAGGAACAGGACACAGACAATCCAAAGTCATTTATATTTATCTTTGGAATACACTCTGTAATCATGTCCAAGCAGATCTGCCTTCCTCATTATGTTTCTTTTTAAGACTTTTATTATTGAATTCCCTAAGTATACACTAGCTATTCAACTAGGGAAATATCTGAGTTGGCTAAGCAGAAAAGAAAAGTTAGTTCAAGATTTTGAAATTGCAAAAACTATCATCATCACGCTTTGCTTGCATACATTTATAAAACTGTAAATTGCCTACATTCACACATAGTTCCCCCTTTGTTCATGGAAAGAAATTAAAACAGAATCTTTTGAATTACTGGCCTGACAAAATTTTCTAATTGCTGCCCTTTCACTTAGGAAAATACTTATATAGGAGTACAATATAAAGGAAATCTCGCGGCTTAAAGATTCACAGACAAGCGAGCTGAGATTTTGGATATGGCTCTTCTTTGGTTTCGATCATAACTGAAATCAGAGCCCATTAGCTTTTTCCTTTATTTTCTAAGTGTATTAAGCCGATAAGGCAGTATCTTCTCTGTGGAAAAGAGGGGCTGTGCCGACAAGAAACTGACAATGATAAAAAGCACATTACCTTTTTTCTGGTCAAACTCCTGATTCTTCCTATCACTGGTAGAATATCTAAACAATTTCATACTGACCCTTTTACTTACTTAAAAGTTCAGGGCAGCAGCCTGAATGTGAATTTGATTTCTTGGGAAAACTTGGAGCTGGTGCACATATGGTAATTTCAAACTGAAGAATTAGGCCTAACCTGGGATTACTTCAATCTCCTGGAGAGGCTGCCTAAAAAATTACAGGGGTCACTTCTCCCAACCAGTCAGGACTCTTCCCATTTCTGTATGTATATGTTGAAAAACAACTTACCCTGTTAACTGGCAGTTTCACAATATGTGACCTATTACTTGAAATAACCCTGAAATTAATTAAAATAGTCCATCAGTCACAAATATATGCCAAATATATTTAATGTTTTTTTCCTTTAGTTGGCAAGTGATCGGAACTTACGTTTGCCGTGCCATTAACTAAATTGAGTAACCATTTTACTTAATTACATCCCTTTGCTTTGGTTCCTGTAATAATTTAAAGAGCTTATGTCACAAAGAAGATAATATTTTAATCTGAGAACGAAGAAGTAGCCCCTTAAAACCTAACAGATAATGATTTTTAATCATTACGACCTCAGATATCGGCAAATGAACATTTCTAAACATACTTTCAAAGGATGATCGTCGAGATGCAAAGCTTAGATACATCAGCTTGCTTGGCTCTTCCCTACACTGTCTCATTAAGAACGAGTTCCTGTGAAGATCTTTTTCTTTCTTTATATATTTGAAGATCTTTGTGCTGATATATATGGTGATATATACACAAACAGTTATTCACCATATTTAGACACTGAGGTTGAAAAAAATTACATTGTTATCTGAAAGAATTAGTTATTTTTATGTTTTTTCAGAACAGAAAATAATAACTAGGGAAAACTCTAACAAAACAGTTTTGTAGATTTTCTTCTCCTTGAAAAAGTGACTAACAAGCTGAAGGAAATGATCACAAATAATTAAAGTTAACAACGAGGCTGACTACAGGGGCAGGAAAAAAAAAGAGATTAGATATCTGAGATTTTTACCTTCATTCTGAATATGATTTCATGTGAGAATGTAAAAAATTACAATGAAAACTCTGTTATTCTACTCAAACAGAATTTTAATAATAGATCATTATGGATACAAAGAAGGAAGACTTCCAAATCTAATTTTTTAAAGTTTTATTACACTAAATGTTTATTGTAAAATCCTAAGTGAAAGTTAAGTAACCAGAATCATTCTTTCTCCTTTGCCCATCTTTCCATAATTTTTAAAAACTTCCTGGTTGTAGCATAGAATAAATCTCATTCAGACCAATCACTTATAATCTTTACACTTGTATAAATGTATAATCGTGGTGAATTTCACAGGCTTTACATTTTCAGTGATTTCAAAGACGTATGTGCATAAAACCCTCAGAGGTAAGGGGAGTAGGTACTATTGTTTTCATTTTGCAAGTTAGAAACCAGAGGGCAAAGGCTTTGAAGCAGGTGTGGCAGGAGAGGCCTTCTCAACCCGCTCTCCTGTTCTCAACTAGCCTTCCTTGGATCCATGCTGGCTATGCCCCTCACCAGGCTCACTCCGAACACATCTGCAGTCGCCAAACAAAGATTTCATCAAATTTATACTGTTCTCGTTAAGGAAGTGAACCATACATGACACACATTTTAGAAAGATTTTTCAATAAGTGTTTGAAACTGAGTTTTGTTGCTGAGTCCTCAGTTAACTAGAAAATTAAATGAACCAAAACGGCTTCACCATATAATCCAGCTAATCACATTTTTTTTTAAATGATAGACAAATGGCTGTCAAATACATCGTTTATCTGCGTAGCGCACAGGATAGCATTTTCTTCCCCTTGTGATATACAAGTTTTAATTAAAGTGCGAGTCATTAAGGACTCCATAAAATCACCAGGCCTCATAGGCTTGTAGAACTGTAGCATTGCAGGTCTTGCAAAATAGGCTTTTTTTTTTTTTCCCCTTAAAGCAGGCAGTAGAAAATGATGCTGTTTTCATTAAGAGGAAAACTAAAATTTTATACCATTGCAGTAGGGGATGAGCAAGGGGGTCTTGTTTATCCATCTGCTTCTTGATTTCCAGATATGGTGCCTGGAAAAAAAGTCATTATACTTCTTGATTTTTCTTAAAAATTCCTTTTTTTCCTTTCTCATTTTTCCTTTATGCAAAAGGAAAATCAGGTTGAACAGGTATGTCTAATCTAGTTAAACCCAGAAGCTTTGTGGCTTCTTCACCCCAAGGTGATGTGAGCTCTGAACTTCATGTGGCACAATGGACTTGCCCAGACATGTAGCTCCAAGAGGCTTAATCAAGCTTTCGTCTGGATCCCACGCCCTAGGCCATGTCTAAAGGTGATCCCAGGCCCCCAGCTGAGTTTCTGCTCAAGCAAAAGCGATGTGCCCAACAACAAAAGTTACCGCCCTTGTACCCACCCACACTGCTAACCTTCCTAATTCTCTACTCATCCCTCTTCTGTAATTTTCTGCTTCCCCACTGCCCCTTATTTTTACTTCTCTGTAGCCCCCTTCTGTTCCGTCTCTGCTCTCCCTTTAAAAACCTCTATCACTTTTGTCTTCCTTGGAGGTGACCTCACTCACTCTCCCCCAGGGCAGTCCTTCAATTAAATCTCTCTCCCCACCTTTAGCAAGTGTTAGGCGCTGTCTCTTTCTGAGATGATGGTTTTTAACTTTGAACTAACATTAAAGCAAAACTTGTGAGAGCTACAACTCCTGCTCATATCTGAAGGTACTGACTTAGGTGCAGAGCTTTACATGAGAAAACTGGATGAAATTTACATAAGAAGAGCCCTTTTTTTTTTTTAATAGTATTTAGTGGAATTTACCCAGACAATTAACTTTTTCATAAAACAAAAGGCGATCTGTCTGTAACAATTTACCACTATCCACAGGGCAGTACCTTCTAGAAAATAGGACAGTATAATGTTATATTTATCTGGAGAGGTGTAAAGGATTTGATGCAATAGAACCTGACAGCATCCCTATGGAGTGCAGACTGGAAGGAGGTGCAGTGTTACTATTTACCACCTTGATAGTGAAGAAGCTAAGCGTCAAACAATTAAGCAACTTGCCCAAGGTCACAGGGCGCATCATTGATGAGCAAATTATACAACACCAGCCTCTGACTTCCTAGGCTGACACTCAATTGTCTGCACTGCCTTCCATTAAAATAGCTTACAAATGACCCAGAATAAAGGAAGAAAATTTTGGCAGAGAGCTGATCCCAGAGTCAGAATTTCATAGCTATTTTTATCCGAGAATGATCTGGGTCTAGGGTATAGTATAATAAACACCCTAGTACCACCGAAGTCTTTGGTGACTAAAAAATGTTTATTTAACTTTGTGTAAGCCAACGGAATAGGTTCGTTTTCCCCCCAAGTGGAAATGTATTTCATTGTTTTCTCTTCCTTATACAAATAATAATATTTGTTTGAAAAGGAATTCAGGTAATACAGAAAAGTATGGGCATAGAAAAACAACGAGCCAGGATGATGGTTTTTAAGCAAATGATCTAACTTGTAAATTAAGGATCTCTTTGTTTACCATTGTCTGACACACACTATTTGTTGGACAAATGGATGAATATTTGACTACCTGAATAAATAACTATCCGAAGACTCAAAACTCAAATTTGGAAATGTAAAAATGTACTCTGGGAGCACATTTCAAATACAGCAGTGGCGATGGCAGGGGTGAAGGGAGGAGTGGCAGTGAAGCTTTGCAGGCCTCAAGACTGAAGGAGTCCAATACTCTCTCCCCAAAGACAGAAATGACCCAGGGTAATACTATAAGCCTCCAGGGTCTGTAGCGTAGTGCAAGCCTTGAAACCGCCATATGCAAACCAAACCCATAATATGTGCTGTTGTCAATTACAGATTATTAATTTCTACTTATCACTGATGAGTTTTAAGCCTCTCTCCAAATTCTTGACAGTGGAAAAGCCTCAAAAATTCAATAGCATGTGCTTTTCAAAGAGCTGGACTATAGCCCAGTGGTATGTTAGACTTTCATAATAAACCGCCATCCGTGCTCAGCAAACATCACCAAGCCTCCCCAAATGGCTAAAAATATAAACTCATACTCTTGGGGAGGCTTGTGTCCTTCAAAGTTGTTTTGAGATTCTATGTTCTGTTTAAAATATTTATGCACAATTTATATTTGATAGAATATCTGTTTTTATTTTGACATTAAAATAATGTGTTGAAATTACTACCATTAATTAAAATGAACAGTTTCGGAAGATGGTACCAGATTTAACCTTTGCTTTAAGATAGTCCAACATACCTCCATATACTCCAACTGTCGCAGAGAACATCAGGAATATAATCATGCAATTACCTTCCAAAAGTCACGGTGATAGCCCACCAATACAACGATGTAATTTAATTAAAACCTCCTAGTACGACACACTTGTAATTTTTAAAGTTCTTTAATTATACTCCCATCTAATAGAAAAATCTACATTTCACTACACAGCCAGTACTCTCAGACATTTTTAAAATATGATTTTACTCAAGCAAAACTAAACTGTACAAGACCCCAAGATGATATACTTACTTGTGTCATTTCTCTAATGGAAGTTATGCTATCCAGTGCTTTCATTACTCGATCATAGTTCTTCTTCTGTTTGAGTGGGAAAAAAAATAGTATTCACTACAAGCCTTTGCAAGTCTACATGTTACTAGAGAAACACATTATTTCTGTACGTGGATTTCCCTTCAGAGTCGATTTGAAAGACTGTTGTGTACAAAAAAGGAAAGGCTTTAATAAGATGATTCTAGGATGTAGGATACATAACTGAGTTAGAAGGAAGAAAGAAGAAAACAATCCCAATACTAATATAAGTACATAAAATCATGTTTAGCCTACAGGGGGAAAACTATAAATATAAACAAGATATTGGGCTCTTGATTCTTTGTCTCACCAAAAAAATTAAGCCATGATGATTAAAGTAAGAACAGAATCCTTCTAAAATATAAAAATCCACTTTAAGTCTCATAATATCATTTTGCTTTTATTTTCTTTTGATTGAAAGGTTGTTACCAAAAGAATATGACTAGTAAGTATATAAATGAATGACACCACACACTTAACTGATAATTCATCTTTAAGTATACTCTGTGTACTCTTGCCACTTTTGACAGAAGGAAAGCTTTTCCAAGGACATTTTATATAGCCATTGTTTCCACAGAATGATTTCAAGATGGACAGTAATAGAAACTAAGGCAATTTTAGCTTTCATGTAATTTAAGAATTCTGCTATTTCAGAAGGATTCTGCCTCATCTCCACAAATATTTATAAAATTGTTTTATCAAGAAATGCCAGTTGATCAACAATATGGACTAAACTTTCACTAACCTTCACGTAACTGGGGAGGAAGGGGAGTGGGGAGAAGGCAAGGGATGATTAAGTAAAAATACAAAAGAAAGCAAAAATCGGTCCTTTTACCCACAACCCTTAAAAATTACAGTGAGGTTACATTACACTAGACTCTCAAAAATATTTAATGAAGTTATTACTGCTATTTTCCTTCCTTTCACGCAGATGGGATGTGTAAAGATTGCAATTTGAGAGGATGAAATGGGTGTAGCTTCATAAAGATGAAGTTCTGAAAGTGATTTTAAAAGATGAAAGGACAAGGGAAGTAACAGGATATGGGAAAGACTGGAGGAGGCAGTAAATCAAGTTTGTGGGAAAGGAACTGTATTTACTAAATGGATAAGGTCCATAACAGGTTAGGGGTTGGCCTGATGAGGGAGGGGGTTAGACAGAAAGGGGGAAACTAGCAGGACTAAAACCTCAGCTGCTGTTACGGGGGGCAGGACGGGTCTATGAGGAGCAGTACTCACCCTGGGGTTGAAGGCCAGCATCTGAGGATCGTTAGGATCCACCACAGAAGGATATGGCTCGAAAATGACAACTTTTCTAGGAGATTCCAATGCAGACCTACACATGGATACCAGCAGATCTACCACCTTGAAACACACACATGAGACAGTTAGCATCCTTCGAGATTCAGCTCGTGCTTTGCCATTGCTCCTCCCTCTCGTGGTCACCTAAGTCTCAAAACTGCTATCAGCTTCTCAGATCTGTAATTTACGGCTTCAGACCACAGTTGACCAAACTTGACCATTAACTCGAAATAACTAACATGTGTTGCTTCCAGTTACGTCCTCAGATCTCTTTGTCATGAACTCCTACAGTGCTCTCACACACTGCTCTAGGCTCTATAGCAGACATGCACAAGAAAGACCGGTCCTCTCTCTCAATGGATTTACATTCTAATCGAGAAGATGCATAACAAAATAATCAGTTAAACATATGCTCAAATACATTTCTGGTAGTGTTGAATGCTGTGAAGATTAAGCAGGCAGTAGAGACTAAGGCAATAGAGGGTTTCACAGTGCCTAGGATGGTAGTGATATTTCAACAGAGACCAGAGTGAACACGGAAAGGGAGAGAGAGCTCTGGGAGAAACTATTCCATGTGATGGAAACCGCAAATTCAGATGAGTCTGACGCACTCCAAGAACAGTAAAACTCCTGACATCATCTCACTTCTTCCTGCTCTCTACCTCAGAGACCTTCTCTGCCATTCATGACCTTTGGTACCCTAAATAAGATGGTTTTATTCCTGTGTTCTTCTGTGACCTCTTAACACAATTTACTAAGAGGCAGTGCCATTTAACAGGAGTAGAGCCCCCTCTCCAGTTCCCAAAATATGTTTCTGGCAAGTCAGCTGAAAAAGCAGACACTGTCTAAATGGAGAGAGGACACCTGGACAGACACAACAACAGTGTGAAGATAGAGAACATCATAAAGAAAGGAATGGACTTAATCTTTATAGAGAAAAATATTTCTAGAAAGTTTTTAGACAGGCATTTAAAAAGAGTAGAGTAAGAGTAAAATAACTTTTGATTCTTCTGGTTCATGGAAGGGGCACTGTGACCTAATGGCTATAGGGCTCACTATGTTGTATATATACTCACAAAACACATCCATCCAATCACAGCATCCAGAATTTCCAGTGACCTAAAATAATCAGCAAAACTCAAGCCATCGGGTATATGATCTATAAGGAGCCCTTCCCAAAGTACACAGACATACACCCCACAAGACTCACTCAGAAAATGGTAGAACTGAAAGAGCCAATATGTTTCCAACACATTATTCCACTTATATGTGTGTGTCTGTATATATATGGTTTCAGCAATAGATAGACTAAAGACATAATAAAATCCTTTTTGTCTTCTGAATCCACACTCACACTCCTTCTACCCCAGAGAGATGCACTTAAACCTAGACACTAATTGTTTTTGGCATTATCTGTGGTCTCTCAATAAAGAAAGATCCAAATAAAAACATCTGAAAAAGAATAATCAGTAAAATAAAACAGCCCTTTCTGACATACTGGCAGTTGGGAGGGAATTGGTACTATCCTATAAAAATTTTTAAGAATTACAAGTCACAGTATGCAACTGAAGTGTTAAAAAAGTGCATGCCCTTTGCTTTAATAAAGGGTCAAATGATCTTTCACAAGGGTACCAAAACCACCCAATGGAAAAGAACAGTTTTTTCTACAAATGACAGTGGCAAAACTGGATATCAATATGAAAAAAAATGAAGTCTTATCTTATACCATACACAAAAATTAACTCCAAATGCAATAAAGACCTAAACATAAGACCTTAAACTACAAAATTCCTACAAGAAAACATGAGGAAAAACTTCATGACATTGGACTTGGCAATGATTTCTTGGCTTGATACCAAAGCACAAAAAATAAAAGCTTAAATAGACAAATGGGACTACCTCAAACTTAAAAACTTTGGTGCATCAAAAGACACAATCAACAAAGTGAAATGGCATGGGATGGGAGAAAATATCTGTGAATCAGGTATCTAAAAGGGGGTTAATATCCAGAATATATAAGGAGTTCCTACAACTCAACAAGAAATCAAATAATTTGATTTAAAAATGGGCAAAACCTCAGATAGACAATTCATTAAAGAAGACATCCAGATAGCCAACAGCACATGAGAAGATGCTCAAAATTATTAAACATCAGAGAAATCAAAATCAAAACCATAAAGAGATATCACCTCATAACCATTAGGATGGCTACTATCAAAAAACAAAAACAAAAACCAAAACCAGAAAATAACAAGTGCTGAACCCATGAAGAAATTGGAGATTTTGTGCACTGCTGATGGGATTATAAATTGCAGCAGCTGCTACAGAAAACAGTACAGAAGCCCCTCAAGAAGGTAATAATAGAATTTCCATATGATCCTGCCAGAAGTGACAATCCCACTTTTGGATATATATCCAAAATAATTCAAAGAAGGATGTTAAAGACCTATTTGCATACCCATGTTCACAGGAGCATTATTCACAATAGCCAAGAGATGGAGACAACCAAAATGTCCACTGACAGTTGAATGGGTAAAGAAAATGTGGCATATACATACAGGAAAAATTATTCAGCCTAAAAAAGGAAAATTCTGTTATAGGCTACATCAATGAACCTTGAAGACATTATGCTAAGTGAATTAAACCAGTATAAAATAAACCACAAAAAGACAAACACTGTCAGATTTCACCTATGAAGTATTTAAAGTAGTCAAATTCATAGAAACAAAAAGTAGAATGGTGATTACCAGGCAGGAGGAAGGGGGCTATATAAGGGGAGTTGTTTAATGGGTACAGAGTTTCAGTTCTGCAGGATAAAAAAGTTATGGAAATCTGTTTCATGACAAGTTGAAGACACTTAACTGCTAAACTGTATGCTTAAAAAATGGTTAAGATAGTCAATTTTAGGTTACGTGTTTTTTTTTTTTTTATCACAAGAGTAATGATACAAACAGAACAGTAATAACCTGAGCAATGGATACCTTTCAATCAAATATTAAACACCCTGTCCCAGAAGCATCAAACTACCAAAAATTATATGCATTCTTCTGCCAATAATTTCACCGTTGGGAATCCTTAATGAAATAGTGGATATAGGGGGTAGGAAATTTAATTAGAATATTTCCTGCTAATATATGTTCTAAGACAACTTGAAAGAAATAGCGTAACTATCATAGCAGAATCTCTTGCTGTCCACCAAAGCCTTCTACTCCTTGCTTCCCAGGTACAGAGCTCTTGACAGGAGACAGCTGCTTGGCATGCAACATTTCCACCCCTTTTGTCTAAGTAAGGCTACGTGACTAGTTTTAACCAATGGAATTGGATCGACAGTGGAGAAGGGTGGAATGGGTGCACCTTCTCCACTTTTATCTCTGCCTCTACTGTATGCCATGTACTTAAAGACAGCAGAGCCACACAAAGGAAAGGGTTCAGTTAACTCAATCATCACACAGAAAGTTGCCCAACAAGCATTCTAACTGGATAGTTGTGGGAGGAAGAAATAAAAAAGTCCATCATTAAGCCACTATAATTTTATGCTTTATCTGTTACAAAAATTAGCAGTTAGAATTTTTGAACAAGAAAAGGTCTGTATTACACTGTCTGGATTTATATTCATTTGCATGTTAATTTTTCCATGGAGTAAAATGTCTACTTTAAAAAATGAAACGTAACAAACGACTATAATTTCTTTATTCCAAATCATGTATTTCCCCACTCCCAGCATTTAAAATGATTTTGTTTTTGTTTTTATGTAGGCACCCACGCCCAGAACGGAGCCCAACATGAGGCTTGAACTCAGGACCCTGAGATCAAGACCTAAGCTGCGATCAGGAGTTCGATGCTTAACTGAATTAGCCACCTAAGCGCCCCCAAATTTGAAAGATTCTTAATGGGCTCCTAGCACATAATGGTGAATGCTATAGTCAGCAAGTTACAGACATCTTTCTTCTTACACTGAATAATATAATTGAAGGGACAATCCAGACACTAAGATACTTAGGATAGAGAAATACAGAATTCAAACAATGGGAATTAGGCCATTTGATGAGTGAGAAAAGGTCTGTGGGTTTATAGAATCACATGCTTCTAAAGGCTATTGTATACAACCCATCTGATAAAGCAAGACTCTCCACCCTTCCCTGCAGGTAAGGAAGACCTTAGAGCACTTGCAGATGAGAAAGTTCAAGTCCAGATGAGTAAGAAAGGAGTAGCCTACAGATAAATAATGTATTCTGAAAAAGAAATGAATTTAAAATCGAAGATCAATGGCTTCAAACATTTCAATATTGATTCCCTTTTTTTTTTTTTTTAAATAAAATCTTGTAAGAGAGCTAAACATAAATAAAATGGAGCTGTTTTTGGTTGAAACAGTATATGGGGGCTTTGAATCCTGGCTTCTTAGACACTCTCATCCCAGTCCAGCCTCCTATGTCCCTCTAAGGGATGTTCTTGCAAACTCAAGAGAACCACTGAAAATACAGGAGTCAACTGATGCACTAGGACTACTGAGATATAGTTTCTTTCTTTCTAGAAAGGGAATCAGAGGGTGCCTGGATGGGTCAGTGGGTTAAAGCCTCTGCCTTCAGCTCAGGTCACGACCCCAGGGTCCTGGGATTGAGCCCCGCACCAGGCTCTCTGCTCACTGGGGAGTCTGCTTTCTCCTCTCTCTTTCTCTGTCTGCCTCTCTGCCTACTTGTGATCTCTGTCAAATTAAAATCTTAAAAAAAATTTTTTTAAAGAAAGAGAATCAGTTTCTATGTAATCTTTAGAATTACAACCAGAATATTGTGTACTTGCTTTCAAGTAGTAAAAAGAATATTCCACTTCAGAGTAGAATCACGAAATTGATATGATCGAGTAATTGTGGTTTTTAACTATCATTACAAAATCCAAAATAAAGTTCTCTTTAACAACCATAATTTTTTGAGGTAGCTATAATAAGGGGGGGGGAAAGCACCTAATAGTCTATCAACCTAGCCTATGGTGGCAGGATGCTAATTTTCCTTCTAATTAATTATTTCTTCGTTCCAGGTTCTAATTCCTTCCCTTCTCACATCATCTGAGGGACAATTTACACTAAAATGCACAAACGTTAACTTTACCACTTGAAGAATTTTATATACATAAATATATATGTTTATATGTAAATATATATGTGAAATATATAAAATACACATACTATATAAAATACATATTTTATATATTATACATATATACCCCCATACCTATTCGGGTATGTACATGTATGTATATTCATAAGCACACACACAGCTGTGTGAAGCTTAATCATCTTTATGTACCTGTATTTCAGTATTTGTACTACCAAAGTGAGCATTTCAGATATAAGCTATCTATAAACAGCAGAGATTAAAGTATCTCTTTTTTTTTTTTTTTGAGCAATATTAGTTCCAAATGATGAGAAAAACTTTCACATTTAAAAAAAAAAATGAAAGAAAAAAAAGAAAAAGGACCCACCATGGTCAGACACATTTGAGAAACCCTCTAAGTACTGGCTACTTATTTTCTTAGTTTCAGGGATTCTGAGAGTCTTTAATATGCAAATATGTGCATGTTGGCTATAGAAGTGGTATCGAGCCATATTTTTGAAATTTAATCATGGGATCTTTTTTCCACATTACATATGATCAATGCCATACCGTTTGTATTCTTGTTCATTTATAATTCATTATATCACAATTGTTTTCCTTAATAGTTCTTCAAGTGGATGTACCTCCATTTCGTTAATGAGTGAAACAATCAGGTTAACAGGACGTATGTAAATCCACAAGGCCTGCGCTATTCCATAGTAATTGTTGTACTTCAATCTGGACTAATGACTGTTAATTGTAGGCATTTGATACCTGTTGAACGAATGTCTGTTATATGATCATTTTCTCCCATCCATCTTGAAAATTTTATAAGTGACAGATTGGTAATTCTCTTCACATTTAGCTTCGTGCTGATTTCAGTAAAGCTGAATATTTTCTTACGTTTCTTTACTAACTATATTTGTGAATTGAGTGTTCATTTCCTCTATTAATCTGTTTCGGTCTTCATGTTTCTTTTTTCAAGTTTTATGTGCTTTTATACAATTATGTTTGAGGCAAGACAAATTTTCTCATAGGTAGCTCTTATCGTTCACTATTCTTTTAAGTAAAAAAGTATGGATGGACTCAAATCTGTTGGTATTTTTTACGATTTCTTGACACTGCATAAATGCACAAACCTGAGATACTGTCCATGCTGTGCATGCTTAGTATTACTCTCTTCTAGTTTGTATGTAGTATTTTTAAACAAAACTCTTCTTTCAGCTATTAGGAATTTGTTTTTACAAATTTGTTTTTACAAACATGGGGGTTTTGCCCCCCATGTTAGAAGTCATTTGTTCCCATCTCACTTACTAAAACATTTTAATTTTACTATTTGATGTGATACTTCCTTTAAAATATGGTAAGTATATTTATAACTAGATCTCTTTTGGAGATTATTTGCCATCCTATTCTTTCCAGTACTACATTTTTTATAAAATAGAGAATTGCATGTTTCTGTATATGGTTGGTCTAGCCTCCCTTAATTAACACTCATTTTTTTTTTGTTTTCTCTGATATTTTTCTATTAATCTATCTTACCTATATTATCTGTAAATCTATTTTCATAGGTTTATGAGGAAATTAGTTTGCATAAATAAATTTTTAAAAATCAATTGAAATTTTGTTGGAATTCATGATTCATGAAGTAAATTCTGGCATCTTTAGAATTTATTTTTTACTTCCAGAAACATGGAATGTTTCTTACTCCCAAGTTGCTTCATTTGTTTTTATAATTCTCTTCCTCTGTCATACACACTGCTATTGTAAAATTGGATACTTTTTCTTACATGTTCTTCCCTTTATCTTTTCACCTATGTTTTAAAAATAAATTGGCTTCCATTTTATGGCACTATAACTTTACAAATAAATTTTACATAATGCATGTGCAAGGGTTTCAATATTTCAACTTCGCCATGACAGAATCATATTTTTCAAACACAAGAAAGTTGGCTGAATTTCTTCCCTCTGCAATTGCCAAATGACAAAACACTCACTAGATACAGATAGCAAGATTCAGTTTCGAGCTTAAAAAAAAAAAAAAAATCAAATGCCAGCCTGCTTTTTAATCTACCGTCAAACTATCAAAAATGTATCCAAAAGAAGAAAGAAGAGCAGACTGAAGGTAACTAGTGGATCAGAATAAAGTTCTCAGATCAAAATCAGGACTAATTAGCACTGTGTGTTCCTACCTGAGCTCCAGTAGCTATTTCATCAGCAGCTTCGTTCATTACTCCCAGGGTTTGAAAAGCAAACACACACAGCTCTCGCTCACACACAGTGGGCTACAAAAGAAAGGGCAATGAGTTACAATACTGTTTTTTTCCGTTTCCCAACTCTTAAGGTAATTTTATGACATTCCATTAAGTATCTTAAAAAAATGCAAAGTTTCAGAATATGAAAAGGAAAGGAATCACAGGACCTTAATTAACAAAAGTTAAATTCCTAAATTTGGGTAACAATTGGTAAATAATCATCTAGTGATATGGAGTAACAAATATAAGAAACCCATTTCAAATAGTTGTAGGCACTTGCACTTAGAATCTTTTAGCAACAGATCGAAAAATCATCTCTCCTACTTCATTCACTTTTGTACCTGAGATGTATTAAAAAAAAGAAAAGAAAAAAACAGACACCTAAGCTGGTGATACACTAAAAAAACAAAGTTAAACCTAACAGCTGTGTAAAACAAATACACGAAGAAGAATTCCACTTTTTCCTAGGTAATTTTCTTTGGAAAAAATAAGCATGACTCTGCTTACTCGCTACCCAGCTCTTGAAAGATTGGTTTTGTTGCAAAGACTTTTGACTTCAATAACCTCCTGAAGTCAACAGCACTGAAATATACACTCTGCAATTGCTTTGGAAGACTTTTCATCTTTCAAATCTAATATAGTGTCTTCTGTTTGATTTATCTTATCTCCAGACTTACATTGCATTAGGTAGCTGATGAAGCCTAACATGATACAATCCATGGTGCGACTGCCTAACAGACAAAAGGCTTTTGTTAGTGCCACTGCTCCTCTGCTCACTCATTTCTGAGAACGACTTGGTCGAGCGCTTAACCAGTGGGAAGTACAGTCCTTTTCGGTCCATCTTTTATGTTTGGAATGGGCCCATATGGTGGCTTTGTAGACATAAGCATGACCAATCACAAACACTTCTGGTGATGTTCCCCAAAGAGAATTTTAGGAAAAAAATAAATTGATACCTTTCTTTTATCCACCTTAAAAGGGGAGTTTGATTACATTTCAGAAACATCAGGTAAAACTACCTATAAGGGGAAATTAACTGGAGAAAACTCTTCATCCAGACTCAAGCTATACAGACAGTGCTATATATAGATGGCTCTACTTAGAGCAGACTGTTCAATTTCTGCGACTTATTTTTCCTTAAGTGTTTAACCTGTTTTTAATCTTCTATTTTTTGTGTGGGTTTATCTATATGCATGTATGTTTCAACCTCAGTTTTCCCCAAGGACATTGGCTGTTTCTTCTGTTTACTTTCTGGGAGCACAATATGGTCTGAAATAATAATAGCAATCATTTATTGTCCATTTACCATAGTGCCAAACATTATACTGGTGTATAGTGGACCTGTATATACAAAAAGAATCTGGGGAGAAGATAAACCATAGAAGTCATGAAGGACCCTAGGAATTTATTCATGTACCAGCCACCCAACAATGTTCACTGAGGAAGTAAACGGGGACACAGAAACAGAAGGTATTTTTTTTTTAATACTACTCTTGTCTAATAACCATACATTTTTTTTTAAATAAAATCCTTCAATCCCAAAGGAATAATAGGAAAAAGCTTATTTAGTGTATACAAGTAATAGTTGGTTTCATTTTTTTCAACTGAACTTTGGCGATCAATTACACTTACTTTGAGATCATCCAAATACATATGTATGTAGGTACCTATGTACATGGTATTAACAGATTCCAGGAAATGTTTTAAAAGAATAGAAACTATCTTTTTCAGTACCAAGTTGTTGCTTTAAACAATGGAAGTGAAAGTGAAATAAAATATCTCACACTCCACTAGACTGGATGGATAAAATATTAAGATTTTAATGTAGGAAAAATGTCTAAGACGGAAGAAAAATAGTGTAGTTATTTTTACATATCTCTATCGTACACTTTGTCACCAATCCTAGGTATTCATGTGCCACCCTGATTTTGTTTCAAATAATCTGTACCAATTTCGCCCTGACCTATTTTTTTTTTTTTTAATCTTGGGTAACAAATGAGCAACATTTCAAAGCTTTCTTCTGTATTTCCATTTCATCTCCCTCCCAGACCTGTTAATATTCAAATCTCTGATCACATGAACTTGCCAACTGACCCATTGCTTTTTTTTTTTTTTTAGGATCTTATTTATTCATTTGACACAGAGAGATACAGAAAGAGAGAGAGCGTGAGCAGGGAGAGAGGCAGAGGTAGAGGGGAAGGACGACTCCCTGCTGAGCCAGGAGCCAGAAGAGGGTCCCGGGACCTAGAGACCATGACCCGAGCTGAAGGGAGACGTTTAACCATCTGAGCCCTCTGGGTGCCCCGACCCTTTACTTTAAATTATAAACCTACATTCCTAATGATAAAGCTATGGCGTGATTACTTTATGAACACTTCTCTTCTTTCTTGCATCTTTTTGGTTGAAATGTATAAGGCTGACTTTTAGGAATATACGGTTCCTGCAATTGTTTGAAGAAGGAAGTCAGATACCCTATAAAACTTTGAGAGGAGAAAGGGCAATTTTTGATACTGCACTAAAAAATTAGAAGTACATATTACATTCTTACAATTTTATCTTCCCTTTTTAAAAATAGCAAATATAGAGGTAATATGGTGATTAATTTATGCTGTATTAACACCAAACTAAGTAAATACTAGTGAATTTTTAAAATAACAATCTATTGCTCATTTTAAAAAATATTTATTTATTTGAAAGAGCCAGAAATAGAGAGAGAGAATGTAAGAGGTGTGGGGAGGAGCAGAGGGAGAGGAAGAAGAAGACTCCCCACTGAGAAAGGAGCCCAATACTCAAGCCAATGTGGGGCTCAATTCCCGGAGATCAGGGTCTGAGCCAAAGGTAGACGCTTAACCCACTGAGTCACACAGGTGTCCCTCTATTGCTCATTTTTACTAGAAAGTTCAAGACAGTATCAGAGCTATAAATCAGTTAAATTTTCAGATAAACATTTACTAACTAGTTTTTGTAAACTTTTGACCCTCCCTGCTCCCATGTTTATCCACATTTTATTTGAGAAGTTCAAAATGTCAACATAAGATAGCACACTAAAACAGAGTTCTCAAATCATATTAAGTAATCAAGATTAGATGTCTCATTGCTCACAGAAAGGACATTTTATTCAAGAAAGAGGAACCAAGGGAGCGCCTGGGTGGCTCAGTGGGTTAAAGTCTCTGCCTTCAGCTCAGGTCATGATCCCGGGGGTCCTGGGATTGAGCCCCGCATTGGGCTCTCTGCTCAGCAGGGAGCCTGCTTCCCCCTCTCTCTCTCTGCCTGCCTCTCTGCCTACTTGTGATCTCTGTCAAATAAATAAATAAAATCTTTAAAAAAAAAAAAAAAAGAGAGAGGAACCAGATCATTCTTCCCTAATGAAACATAAATTACATTGTGGATTAGCTGACTCTCAGCTAATCCCCCACCCCCAACATATTCTGCTCTGACTGTACCATTTACAAAGAAAGCTCTAGCATCAATTAAAAATGGAACATAGGTGGGGCACCTGGCTGGCTCAGTTGGTGGAGCATGCAAGTCTTGATCTTGAGGTTGTGAGTTCAAGCCCCACATTGAGTGTGGAGATTACTTACTTAATAAACAAATAAATAAATACATAAACATACACCCCCATTTTGGGGGAAAATAGTAAAAATTCTTACTGGGTAAAAAATTTTTAAAAATTTAAAATTTAAAAAATTTTACTGGGTAAAAATATTACTGGGTAAGTGTAACGATGTGTCTTACTGCACATAATTTAATACAAAGTGTGTATGCCCAATATAACCAAATGTGTACATCATTTATGAATTCATTTCTGAGTTTACAATCAATCAATGTTTCAATTCCTAAAATATTAACAATTCTTAATGTTATTTTATTGTCCTCAAGCAATTAGTTCCTATAATTTGAACTGTAAAAACATGACAAGTCCCTCTTGCCATTCCACATACATAATTCTTTTTTTGCAATGTAACATTCATTATGCACCATTTAAACACACAGATGAATTTATAGGTCCCCAAGATTTATTTTAGAGGTTTTAAAGCCAAGACAAATACATTTTAAATTTTAGTTGAATCAGAACAATTTAAAATGTGAGCAATGAAAATGTATTTCAAAAATGGTTAAACCTGAAGAATATTTTAGAACCTAACTGCGTTTTAGAAAGTTTGTGTCTTCAATAAATTCAAATTACTTCCTACTAAAAATAGAAATGATAAAACTCAAGAGTATCTATGTATTTGTATATAGCACGGTGTAGGTGAGAGGTTTTCAAACCTCTTCTGCCATGCTTTTTCCACTCAAAATTTTTCACGTTAGCCCAATATACAGAACAGACAAAAAGTGGTGACTGTTCCAATGGGGGCACATGTGCACAGGTTGAGTTTTCCTATCTGTAAAACAGGGATAAAAAAATCACATCTAGTGCACCAGGTTGATAAGACCAAGAAGTAAGAAAAGATAAGAGGCTTAGAAAATCTCCCTGAGGTACACAGAGCTGTTTAAATATTAACAATAAATACTAAGTAACTTGAGAACCACAGATGCTTCTCATTTTAAACCAATGCATACACAAAAGTAAGTGTTCAATAAAATTTTCATTGAAGCTTATTATGAAATAGTATTTTTATTTTCATATCCATAGCTTATCGAAACCCTTAATTTAGTGTTAAAATTGTTCTTGTTAAAAAAGAAATGAGCAGTGTAAATAAAATTCCTAGTTAAAAAACTAGGGTTGAAAACATATAAGAATAATTAAGAATAGCTACTAGAAACTCAAAACCTACAGGCCTTTATTTAGCTCTTTGTATTTCTGATTTTATAGTCAATGCTTCAGGTTCTTTTCATGGTTTGGAAGAGAGACACATTCAGGGTGGGGGGGTGGGAGGGGCAAGTTCACCATGCCGAAAGAAAGACAGGAATCCCATGGAGATCAAGGCAGATCTGTAGTTAAGATAGGCTCATGCCCATTTAAGCTTCAACACAGTGTTTCCTATTATCTCATACAACTTAAGTTGTTGTTTGAGCCTTAAAACCAA